CATCTACATTGACTCGAAAGATGAAAGCAAAGTAAAAGAAAATTTGTTTTTGTCATTCTATTTTGGAATATTTTATTTAATCATCAGGGTAAATGGGAATTGTTATCGAAAACACAAGGAAAAAAAGTGAAAATTCAATATGCAGAAGAAAAACGAAAACAAGAACGATCACGTCAACAAGAGGTTTGATTAATATGAAATTCTTTATTTTTCATCAAAATATATATGCAATATGATTCAATAGAACAAAAATCTTAGATCTGGAGCATTTTTAATTTTCTTGAGATAACTATTCTTAATGAACAAAGCAGTTTCACATTATTAATCATTGCAATAGTTCAATTTAAGTTTTTAACTGATCAGATCTTATTCGGAGTTTCTCCTTTGATCGATAATACATCGTAAAAGACTTTCTAAGAAAAGTTTTTGTTTCTGACCCTCAACAAATTTTGCAGGAAGTTCAATTTATTTGGTGCTCAATGATGTGATAGATTGGGAATGCCGAAGTGAAAATCTTAAAAGTTGACAAGCACTCTTTTTTTTTTGGAAGTTTAATCATGTTATTTAAAAATCCTTTTGATAATGAATATGAACTTGATATAAATTGAAGAAGCTAAAATTTCTAGAGATATTCATAGTAAAAGAATTTCTTAATAGTACTATTTTCATACATGTTTTTTGTTTAGTTTGAAGATGCTCAACGACGAGAAGAAAAATTAGAAGAAGCAAAACAAAATGTAATCAAAGAAGATAAATCATTGTCACAAGCAGAAGTGGTTCGTTTTTCTTTTATTGAATTTTAGAAAACACAAATTCATTAAATATAAATTATGCTTTTGAAAAAATAGATCAAAATTAAATATGTACGAAATTATCATGATAAACGAGTGAAAATATTCGGATGGGTACATCGAATCCGAAGACAAGGTAAATAATTAAAAATGCTTTATCAATTCATTTTCTTTTCGCTTTCTAGGCAAAAATCTCACATTTATCATTTTACGTGATGGAACAGGCTTTCTTCAATGTATATTAACAGGAATTCTTGTAAATAATCTTTTGATTTTTTTTTAAACATCTATCATCAAAGTAATAGATTAATTATTTCAACATCGTTCCGACTCGAATAATTCCTGAAATTATTTGGTTGAATTCGATTAAAATAATAACTTTGAAGACAAAACCTTTAGTCAACAGTTCGGATGCTAGGGCTGAGATTTATTGATTAATTTTCTTACAATCGGATTCCAGTATCGTTTATATTCGATAATTCATGGAATGCACAGACTATAATTTGCCAAAAAGAATCGATACTGGAATGTGATTGTAAAGAAAATAGTCAAAGATTGAGCAAACTGTTAGTTCTGATTAGACAAAATGATCTGAATATATTCGAATAAAAATTTTTCTCAGGCGGTCTAATTTTTCTTTCTTTAGTGTCAAACTTATGATTCAGTTATTTTATCAACTGAAGCATCTATATCCGTCTATGGCATTGTACGAGCAGTACCTGAAGGACAAAGTGCACCTGGTGATCAAGAACTAGTAGTTGATTATTTTGAAGTAATTGGACATTCACCACCTGGTGGTACTGATACATTAGTAAACGAGGTTTGAGTTTTTTGTTTCATTTTAATTGTTTGTTTTTTATATAATGAATATTCAATAGGAATCACATCCTGATGTTCAACTCGACAATCGACATATGTTAATACGTGGAGAAAATGTAAAAATATTTTTTTGTTTAATCTTAATTTAATATAAAAAATTTTTGTAGACATCGAAAATTTTACGACTTCGTTCAATTGTTACACAATGTTTTCGCGAACATTTTTTTGATCGAGGCTATTATGAAGTAAATTAGTAATATATCAAATCTTGTTATTGATTGATAATTTAGACATTTCCTCCAACATTAGTACAAACTCAAGTTGAAGGTGGTTCAACTTTATTTTCATTGAGTTATTTTGGAGAACCAGCTTATTTAACACAATCATCACAATTATATCTTGAAACAGCTTGTCCTGCTTTAGGTGATGTTTTTTGTATTGCTCAATCATATAGAGCTGAACAATCACGTACACGTCGTCATTTAGCCGAGTAAGTTATAGAAATAAGAATTATCTATTTATAAAATTGTTTCTGTAACATTGGAATATTTAGATATACACATATTGAAGCTGAATGTCCATTTATTTCATACAATGATTTACTTGATCGAATCGAAGATTTAGTTGTTGATGTGATTGATCGTCTATTGAAACATCCTGAAGCTCATTTATTACATGAACTCCATCCAGTAAGATATTTTATTTCTATATTAAATATAACATAAGTAAACCATTAAAAAGGTCCAGATCTATTCTCTATAACTCAGTGTGTAATTTTTATCAAACACGATTTAAGAGCACTGTTGAAGTATATAGAAAGAAAGTTCAGACTTCTTTCACCATAGATCGTGGCAGATATTGATGATATATCATTGCTGAGTTTATATCAATAGCGACTTCTTACGTAGTTCCTTATTGTATTTTCGGAGACTTAAGTAAAATATGGGCGAAAACATGTATCATAATATAAATAGAATAAAAATTAAATATCTTTATAGATTTTCCTATTTTATTTTGCATCACACTGACTAAAAATGAGTTAACTTACTTGAAAGTAGTAGATTGTTGAATTTAAACTAATTAGTAGAAAATATAGTTCCTAAGTTTCTATAATTCCATAGCAGTCACTAGGAATACTTATGTTTTTCATGTTTTGACTTACATTCTGTAAAAAATAAGAACATATTTGACGATGGAATTTTTCCAAGTTTTCGAACGCTTAGGATATATAGATAATAGTACTTGATTATTAGTTTACTTGAATTTTTATTAACTAAAACTATTAATTAGGAAAAAATTTATATCGAATTTCAGAACATTTGAATTATTTTAATAGAAAACCAAAGTGAGAAACAAAACTTAGTTTTTCCTATATCACAAGTTATTTTATAGAATTTGAAAAATTTTGTTTTATCTTTGAGTGAAGAAATTAGATTTTTACTATTTTTTATTTTGATACAGTAGGCCTCGGCATTTGTAGCAATACTTATGCATCGTGATTTACAAATATATATCTTGTTCGTTTTATTTTTAGAACTTTCAACCACCAAAAAAACCATTCAAACGTATGAACTATAGTGATGGCATTGAATGGCTTAAAGACAATGATATTAAAAATGAAGAAACTGGTAAATTTTATGAATTCGGTGAAGATATACCAGAATTACCCGAACGAAAAATGACAGATACTATTAATGAACCTATATTATTCTGTCGATTTCCAGCTGAAATCAAATCATTCTATATGCAACGAGATCCAAATGATAATCGTTTAACTGAATCGGTATGCAAAAAACGTAAAGATATTCATTTTTCTTTACATGATTTTATTCTATTTAGGTTGATGTATTGGTACCTGGTGTTGGTGAAATTATTGGTGGTAGTATGAGAATGACAAATTTTGAAGATTTATCTGAAAGTTTTCGTAAAAATGGTCTTTCACCTGAACCATATTATTGGTATTTAGATCAAGTAAGTGTTTTTTTTTCTGCATGATACAATATTTTTCAAGAGTAGTCTTTAAAAAAAAGCTATATGCTTTTAATTTTTGATAAAATCTTTATCAGTATATACATTTGATAATATTAGAAATAATAATATTCAATCGAAGAACGAAGCATTACAACTTTTCTTTTCTTCTATTTGTTTAGCGTAAATATGGTACATTTTCTCATGGTGGTTATGGTCTTGGTCTTGATCGTTTCATGACTTGGATTACCAATCGACATCACATACGTGATGTTTGTTTTTATCCTCGTTTTATTGGTCGTTGTCGTCCATGAAAAATGAAACAAATAAATCACTTAGCTGTCTGTAATGTAACGACATTCTAACTTTTATGTATACAAGAATACTTGTTATCCTAAATAAAATGATTTGTAAAATTTGTCTTCCTAAATAAATCTTTCTTATAAGTAATATCTGAATGTGTGAACGATAGATATGGTATCCTCTTCATTTGATTGTTATAATGCAGCTTTATCAGATTATGAAGCAAAGTAAGATTCTGGATTTGATTCTTTCGTGAAGAGAAGTCTGTTCTGACAAAATAAAGACAGTTTGATCAAAAGTCTCTGAAGTAGAAGTAACTTGGCCGATAAATGAAGTACATTTTTTCGAGAAATCTACCACAGATTCGGACTTCTTGACATCGAACATCTTTGGTCAAACTTTAAAACAAAATTTTACTTTCCATAAACAAATCTTCCGACAACGAAGGAAAGAAATCCATAGTTTAACATCCCAACCGCAATCAATTCCAAGCCAAGAATTGGAATTGATGCCCTCCTGCTGGAGAATCACCTTTCTAACAAAACCAATTTTATAGTCTGATTAACCTTGAAATTCTCCATTACTTTATACATTTTCTTCGTTGAACAATAATCCGAATACCTCTCAGGAATTCTTCTTGACAAGATCTAAAAAGAGTACATTTTTACAATTATTTCTTTTGCTTTTTATTACATAGATTTAGAGTGGCTGCTCATATAAGGCACTATCACAGCATAGAATCACTTATTCAATGCTTTAATAGCTATAATAGTTATAAAATTGAAATAAAAACGACACAAATTACGTGACACTAGGTAAATATATAGAGTGATAGTCAAAAGGATGCGTTTACTGCACTCATCCTAGTTTCTGATATTCTTGTATAAATATGCAGGATAGTTGAAGACTCTCTAAGCTCTTCTAGACAAAACAGTTGATTTTATAGGCGTAGTTATTTTTTTGTTCAAATCGTAACAACAAAGAGATTGCAGCTTTTCTATGATAAGTCTCAAACAGAAAAATTTATTTCTTATAGTTTTTCAGAATGTTCAAATTATATTACAAAATGATATTTCTTGTCATTGATCTTTTTTAAATTAGAATTTTGAAACTAAAAAAAACCTAATGTTTCTATTATTTTATGTCACCATGAAAGTTTTTTTCCTCATGTCAGAATATTTGATAAGGATGTACCATAAAATAGTATTGTGTATTTTGTTATAAAAGTGATTAGGTTACAAAAGGGAATTTGTTTTTTTTTGTATGATAATGCTTTAGAAAGAAAGAAGCAAAATATAACTGAAGTCAATTTCATTTATTTTATCACGATAGTGACAAATGTATTTTAACAATTTGAATTCTTATTTTCTAGTTAATTTTAATAACTAAATTGTAAAAAGAAAATTTATAAATTCATCATTCTGATCAATTATAATTTACATCATCTGAATATTTAAGAAATGAAGTATTTTGGTCTGTTGAAATTCAATAGATGCATTAAATTTATGGATATTCTCTTGAGATATGTCGTTATAGGAAAAAACTTAGAAAAACAAAAATCGAATATTTTCGCATCGTTTTATGACAGTAATATTATTTGCAAAGTTATTTTAAGTTTGTTTTTAGTGAAAATAAATCTTTATTTGAGGATCGACTAATATTGCAACTAAAACGAAGAAAAAAAGATTTTTTCTGCTGAATTGAATTGATAATGAAAAGCTTAAACCGATTGATATTCCTTCATCGCGTAATTCAAGAAAAAATATTGAAAATCGATTGCTCTATAAAAGAATACAATCGATATTCAACGTTATCTAGATAACTAAATATTTACATAAAAACAATATTTGCCGAACAGAAA